ATATATATATATATATATATATATATATATATATATATATATCTAAATGGTTTGGCCCCTACTTATCTCTGTGAGTTATTGACTGAGCATCAACCCTCTAGATCCCTTTGGTCTTCCAACCAGGATCTATTGTTTACTCCTAAGTCGAGGCTTAAATGTAGGGGAGATTATGCTTTCTGTGTTGCTGCCCCCAGGCTTTGGAATGCCTTGCCACTATTCATTAGACAAGCTTCTTTCTTAGTATTTTTAAGTCCAGGCTAAAGACTTTTTTATTCTTTAAGGCATATGGCTGATGTGATATTTGTATGATTTAAAAAAAATTATGTTTGCTTATTAGTGTGTTTTTTTTGTTTTGATGACTTACTGGAAAGCACATTGGTCAACAGAAGTTGTAATTAAATCATGCTATATAAATAAACTGTCATTGTCAAAAATGTCACATCGTAGTCTTTTGCCAGTGTAGTCAGGCTTTAAAGTATTTTACATGCAAAGTAATTTGATACTGATTTATTCCATTACAAGCAGCTTTGATTGTTAATTATCAAATCAAAGCAGTAACAAATAAAATTAATCAATTCACACACATTGTATTTGTGATTTTTTTTTTTTTTTTTCCGATTTATGGCATCAAGCATTTTGAAGATGCTCTTTGTTAAGTTTTGCAAAATGCAGTAGATAAACTTCTTTAAGCAGCTTGTACCTTCTACAGTTTTACAGTAGCTTCTACATTCTCCATTGGTATTCAGCTACACTGAATATGACGTACCCCGAGTAATTTCTTAATCGCATCATTGAATTATTTGTAAAATGATATACTATAGTTCTTTTTAAATATGTGAAAGACATTCATCACCTTCTTCTGTCCGTGACTTCCCAGACTCCGATACAAGGGTTACTTTGGGGGAGTTTCGGCCATGACGAAGGAGCAGTTCCACAAGGTCAATGGCTTCCCAAACTCCTACTGGGGCTGGGGTGGAGAGGACGATGACCTGAGAATAAGGTGAGAGAAACTCGGGACGATGTGGCTTAGGATGTGCAAAGGCACTCATAGGTGACTTCACAAAATGGCTAAGCAAATCATGTTTTTTGTCTGTTTTTTAACCTTTAAAACATAAAAAATAAAAATGTAGAAATGCAAAGACAATTTATTCTTCGCATAAAGGGGAATGTGTGTTTAAAGAAGACATATTATGCCCCACCAGGGACCTGATTATAGCACTTAAAACCTGGAAAAGTCAGATTTTCATGATATGTCACCTTTAAGTGAAGGGGAATTTCAGTTTCTGCATGTGGTACCAATCATGTCTGAACATTGCTTTCTTCTTCTCATTGTTAAGGATTGTAACAGACCCGTCTTTTTCAGGGTGACGCTGCAGAAAATGTCAATAATCCGTCCATCCCTGGAAGTGGCGCGCTACACCATGGTCTTTCACAATCGGGACAGCGGCAATCAAATCAATGAAGAAAGGTCAGTTAAAGTGTGAACGAGTATTAGAGTGCTATTCTGGTCTTCCAAGAGATCATAACTAAAGTGAGGAACAATTTCTGACAGCATGCATTGTTGAATTACATCTAATGAGCTTACATAGTAATATCATCATGCTAATATGTTAATGAAGAGTTCTGATGCAAAAGCCTCTAAGTGCCATCTGAAATGAGCATTTCTATCAGGCTCCTATGCTTAGTAATTTTTCTTTTTTTTTAAAAGAGTATTTATTGAGACTAAGGTAAAAAAATAATAATAATAATTTATCTTCTTGGACAACATGACATCACATGGTTGAATAAATCTAGATCCACAGTGACAGATCAGACTACTTCTCCACCATCGCTTCTTTGACAGCTGGTATGTGGGTGATGACTGAGATTGTGAAATCTCTTTCATTATCGTCTGAATGTTAGGAAATAGTGGCTGAATGTTATGTGTCTAATCGCATCAGTAGAGCATTGTTTGTTCAGCGTGTGGATTATTTTCTAAACCAGTCATTGTGCATGATTGGACCCGACAGTAATGTCACAACACGTAAGCAAGTTGTGACACTACTGCTCCTTATGCCACCAGATTGAGTTAAAAGTATCAGAAGCTCCCACAAATGCACGCTGCAATTCACCACTGCACGCATCATAAATGAACATATTATGCATGGTTTTATAAGCTCACCATACATTACACAAATACACAAATGCTTATCCATGAGTTACTACATTTTGCAGACAGAATTGCATGTCTGCAAAATGTAGTAACTCACCCAAAACATTTAATCCATGCTTCAAAACCTACTGTAGTTATTGTGAGAATCAACTCATCAGTTTTGATCAGCAAGCCATGTGCATTTAGTTGGTGTGCAAATTGTAGACAATTGTACGTACTCTTTTGCATGCAATCTGTTTAAATCAATAAGAAACTGATTGTTCAGACATCTGAAATTACTGTTTTATTTGAGAATTGAGCCATAGCGATTGAGAAAAACTGTATTGAACAGAAATAAATGCACAGCCGTTTACTCTGCATCAAAAATATGCATTAAAAAAAATCACGTTTGTGTCAGAGCCTCAGTGGTGTGTAGTTGAGAAATTATGCAAAAAAATAAAATAAATAAACACTCACTCGTGATCTATGAGCACGTCTCTCACGTACTGTATGTGATCTCGCATTTCAAAGTGTCTGTCACAGGAAATTAACACATGCTGTCATGAATAATTAAGAGAAGTGTGTTCTTATAGAATGAGTACATGCAGCCTTATGAATAATTAGGAGAAACAGAGGAGTCATCGGTGTGAGAAAACGCTGCGTTCTGTGACATTGACGCAATGAAGATTTTAAATCGGGAAGCTCAAATTTAATCCGTTTAAAATTGACCGATACTAACATATTTTATAAATGTGCAACACAAGCACCTGTCAAAAAATGTAGTTTAGTGTTTCAGGGATTCATTTTCTTCTAGTTTGTCATCCAGACTTTTTTTTTAAAAAGTTCCTCATGTGCAATGTGTATAAGTATAAATGCAAAGATGTTACTCAGTCATAACAGTATGCATAATTGTTTCATAATTATAAGTGGAGATATTGTAGAATGCACGACTCCTTAAAAACTCAAGAACATGATAATGCTATACTTAAAATGTAAATGATTCCAAGAGAGATGCGTATTTTCAGTGTGGTATTTAATGCTTTGCTTTCGACACAGGATGCATCTGTTACGCCGCACTCATCAGGCGTGGAAAACTGATGGCTTGAACTCCTGTTCCTACAAGATTCTGTCTGTCCACAGAGCACCACTCTTCATCAACATCACCACGGACATTGGCCAGCCGGAGAGTGCTCTTTGAGTTTTTGGATTCACTGGCATTCACCAGTGCCAGTCAGATCTAGTGCTAAGTGTTGTTGTTCACACCAGCTTGCACTGTGGATCTGTTCAACTTTACTCTTTATGGCCCTGAGAGATGAAATGGCCAGAATTCTGATCAAACACTACTTTTTAAGTATTACAGTAATCACGTAGAATTGAATTAGTCTGGACGGGTGAACCTTTCGGGGTTGAATTTCCAATCATTACCTCTAGTTATGAAGTTATAGGTTCATATAATGGGACTTGTGCTCATTTAGGTCATTACAAAATATGGCACAGCATCTGGGAGTAATGGAAATCAAAGAAGCTGGACCTGACTGATCAATAGTATTTAGACTTAAATATTGATATGAATGTATATGGGCAGAGGAGGTGTGCCTAAGTCTTTATAATAAGTCTGCATGTTCTACAGTGATGATGATTTCAGCTGAACGTGCTTATAATGTCTGTCTGGTGGAAAAAAATTATAGATATTGTAGTGGGTGTTTGGGTCCAATGATATGGTTTAATCAGTTCAGTTTCGTTTCAGTGAAATGTAGCTGTAGATGGGTTAATTATTTTACATGTAGGTCATTGTTCAGACGCAATGGCTGTTCAACTCATAAAACTGTGTGGTGTTACTGTATCTCACTGAATTTATGATCAAAGGAAATGAGACTTTTGTTTACTTAGGATAATATCGTCTTCTAGGCGAAATCTTCTCTGTTTTGAAAGATCACATGCTGTCACGATCAGAATTTGTTAGAAATTAAAATGATCCATAAAACCTTTTTTAGTGCAATTCTTTGTACAGTTCATGCAAGACGGAAGCTTTTCAGAAACTGAGTTTGACACGTTGCATTTCAACACATGACCGTCTCATCAAACCTGCTAATTGTTGAGTATGGGGATAGAACTATAAGTTTGGCTTTTTTTTTTTAAACCATTACACTGTAAAAACTATAAAAAGTGCATGAGGATCTGTTAAGTAACATCATATTTTCTATGGGCCTTATTGGCTTGATTTGTTTTTTTATTCTAGAAAACCTGGTATCATAAGTAAAAAGCAAAACTTTACATTCTGTGGCACATTTAAAATGATTTGGGTGTTGTAACAGTATGAATTGTATACCGTGCAGAAATCATGGGCCAAAGGTTTGTGAATATTAATGAGAACTTTCCACAAATCGGGTACAAATTAGTATCCCATTACTTTTTGTAAAGGAATCAAATTCGTTCTATGCAATAGGAACTATTCAATTAAAAACTGTTATCTAACATAAAATGACCGCATGAGAAGCATTTACTTTTGAAAACACTGAATATCTCTACTCCAGCCAGCTCTCTAAATATTGATAAAAAAAAAAAAAAGATAGATAGAAAGAAAGAAGTATAATATATGTCTTTTGACATCTTGAGGTTTCTTTGAAGGTGAAGCACTCCGTTTTGATGAATCTTTGTTGAAAAAGGAAACATTTTGCAAGAGATTAAAGTCTGGTTCTGTACCCTGTTCATGGAACCGATGCAGTGTTGAACCTGTGTGTGTCAGCTATTGATAAAAATACTGCAATAAAGAATGACTTTAAACATAGACAGTAGCTTTTTTTCTTTTTGTCAAATGTGTTGTATACAAGTTTTCAAGTTTATGGCGGTAATATATGATCTAAGCATACTAGTCACTACAGGCACAATATTTATGGATGGACAATTTAAATAATTGATATTAACTTTTATTATTAAAGTATCTCAAGGTAATGGGAGCAAAAGTTGTTCGGATCACACAGAAGAGCTACTGTAGCTGAAACTGAAAAACAATGCTGGCCGTGACAGAAACACAGAGCCTCACAGTTTGCTGTGTATAGAGTTACTGCAGACCCTGTTCACTGCTGAGAGTGCCTACAGTGGGCACGTGAAAGTTTATCATTTGCACGTGTTTTTTAAGATTTTTAAGCTTAAAGTGTCTGAAACTAATTTACCAGCTGCTGTCAGTGTTCTTCATTTAAAAAAAAAGAGAGAGTAAAGTACAAAAAAGTTCTAATAAACTGCCAAAATGCATGCTATTAAACAACTAGTTAATAGTGAGAATTGGTTCTTAAAATAAAGTGTTACCAAGTACTTGGCATAGAATAATTAGATTCTGGAGTAAAGCCCATCTAGAAAAATGCTATGGATAACTATAAAAATGATAAGGAAATTGCATGTTGTATATACTACAAGAGAGGCCTTTGTGAGGAATGATAATGAAAGAAGGAAATGGTTGGAGGGAAGAATACTATATACTTCCATAAAGTATTTATCTTGTATATAATATGATCTCTGTCTGCTCTGTCTGCTTGATGTGACTATATATTTGTGTTCATGTTATCAACTTTATGTAAAGCATCATTGGGTTCTTGGAAGCTAATATAAATAAAACATTATTATTATTATTATTATAAATTAGAAAAAGATATGAATGTAGTTCTGTTGTCAAACTTAAAATAGATGGGGAAATCAATGAAAATATTAAATAATTTAATTTTATATATACATTTTATTATACACTCTCAGAAAAAAAGGTACAAAAGCTGTCACTGGGGCGGAACCTTTTCAAAAGGTACACTTTTGTAGCTTTTAGGTACTAATATGTACACTTTAGGTACTAATATGTACCTTTAAGGTACCAATATGGACTCTTTAGGTACAAAGGTGTGCCTTTTGAAAAGGTACCGCCCCAGTGACACCTTTTGTACCTTTTTTTCTGAGAGTGTGGGAACCTGTATACCAGTCACACCTGCCCTCTTACAGAAACTGCTAGCTTTATAAAATCAGCTAAAGAACATTCTAAATTCCAAAACTTATGTAATAGCTTTAAATGGGATTAAATTTTGCTAAATTAAAATAGAACAAATCCCCTGTTAAGGATGGACAGACAAGTGGATTCAGGGGCGCAGCTATGGTTTCTGGGCCCCCTGAACAGCATATTGACTCGGGGCCCCTTCTGTAGGAATCACGTTAGGTCCTAACCCCTGAATGGATTCTACAATATGTGGACTGTGGGGGAAACCCACGCAGACACCATACAGAAAGCACCAGAAGAAAGTTTTATTTATAAATTACTTTAAGGCATTTGATACAGTTGAACATGCCAATCAAACCTTTTGTCCAATTTTTAAAAGCATTGAGAAATCAATCAATCAAGATCAGTGTATGATTTCCTAGCCCCGGTTGTTCCTTCCTCAATAATTAAGAGTGTGGACTCCAAGCTCTTTAACTTTATGGAGGAATTGTTACGTACTGATCTGAGACTTGAAAGGTTGGAGATCCAAATGCAGCTTTTATTGGGACAATCCAGAAACGTAATCCAACATACAGGCAACAGGTCAAAACACAGCTAAGCAACCCAAACAAGCAACAAGGCAGGAAAAACAGGCAAATGGGTGATCCAAGAGCCATAAAACCAGAGCGAATGCTCAGAATTGCAGAGTAACAAATGGCAAGACTACACAATGAGACAGAGAAAACACAGGGCTTATATAGGCAGAGGTAATGAGCAACAGGTGAAAACAATCAGCATGATGAGTCCAAGCAATGGTTTCTGGGAAATGCAGTCCAGGACTGAGTGGCAAAGGTGTGGGATGGAGTGCCCTCTGGTGGCCATCAAGGGTACTCCAGCTGGTGATATGCAATATCCAAGAAAAATGAGGCCTAAACTTTTAGAATGCCAAACATGCAATATTTTTTAAAGATAAAACAGATACATTATCTAAATAATATATATACTGTATGTATATATATATATATATATATATATATATATGCTAGCATCATGCTAGTAACATGCTAATCATGCGAGAATCATGCTAGTAACATGCTAATCATGCTAGAATCATGCTAGTAACATGCTAATCATGCTGGAAACATGCCAGTATCTTGGTAATCATGCTAACAAAATGTTAACGCCATGCTAATCATGCTAACAACATGCTAGTAACATGCTAATCATGTTAGAAACAGACTAGTAACTTGCTAAACATGTTAACAAAATGTTAACACCATGTTAGTAACATGCTAATCATGCTAACAAAATGCTAGTAACATGCTAATCATGTTAGAAACAGACTAGTAACTTGCTAAACATGTTAACAAAATGTTAACACTATGTTAGTAACATGCTAATCGTGCTAACAACATGTTAGTACCATGCTAATCATGTTAGAAACATGCTAGTAACTTGCTAATCATGCTAACAAAATGTTAATACCATGCTAGCAACATGCTAACCATGTTAGAAACATGCTAGTAACATGCTAATTCTGCTAGTAACATGCTAGCAACATGCTAATCATGCTAGCAACATGATAGTTAAATGATAATCATGCTAAAACATGTTAGCAACATGTTAGTCATGCAAGAAACGGCCTACCAACCACCCAAAGTTACCCCAGCAATATGTTTTATACCTATCTGTTTTTCTGATAGACTGTATTGCCTTGAAAACATTCAAACTTTAATCTTTAAAATTATTTTAACTTACAAACTACTTCAAACTGAAAACTTTCAGACTGCAAGCTTTTCAAACTTTTTTCAAACTTTCTAGCTAGGCTTTTTCAAGCCAACTTAAAGTTTATCTACAAACTTTTCAATCAAGTTGGAATTGAACTTCGGCAAAAGAGCATACTGTAACAGTGATTGTCTGCTCCCATAAAGCTCTCCAGTCTCTCGAGACTCTTATTTAAGGATTTGTTATTAAATCCCCATGGAGAAAATGAATGGGAAAACACTTATCGAACCAAGGCCACTGAAAAAGTGGGCAGTTTTGTGCTCTATTACATCATGGACTGAGATTGTCTGACAGGCATCCGGCTGAATTCACCCTTTGTTGGCTTCTGTCACATGATGCAGGATTCTCGATAGAAAGAAGAACAACATTTGGCACATGGTGACTAGACACAAAAAAGTATCTGTTCTGTAATCGCTTTAATCAGCGATCTGACTTTTTTATGTCATATCTGAAAGGACCCTTTTTTTTTTTTTTTGTCTGTTGATACTAATAATTTCTGAGCCTGCTAGGAAAAGGTATTAGAAGAAATGTTGATTACGGATAGAAGAGCGTTTGTAATGTATCAATGAGAAATCAGAAGCATATTTCCCATCTTTTACATTGTCTGATAATCTAGATTTTTTTTAAAGAAATTATTTTATTCAGCAATAATATATTACATTGATTGATTAAATTTACTTTATAATGTTACAAAAAAAATCTATTTCGGATAAATGCTGTTCTTTTGAACTTTCTATTCATCATAGAATCCTGAAAAATAAAATGTATCACGGTTTCCCACAAAAAAATATTGTGCAGCACAACTGTTTTCAACATTAATAATAATCAGAAATGTTGCAAATCAGCATATTAGAATGCTTTCTGAAGGACCATGTGACACTGAAGACTGGAGTAATGATGCTGAAAATTCAGCTTTTATTATTATTTTATTTTATTCAGCTTTTTATTTTAAAATAAAAAAAAAAACAGTTATTTAAAACTGTAATAATATTTCACAAAAATTAAAATTTTTACTGCATTTATGTTTAAATAAATGCAGCCCTCATGAGCATATGAGACGTCTTTTAATTAATGTATTTATTTTTTAACAAGTTTACTAAACAAAACTGTTCAGAAGGCAACCTTATCTTCCATCACTTCTCTGTATGGATAACATTTTCATCGGAAGCAGAACTGTGTACAGATATGTTGTTACTGTCTACAGCAAGACACACGTTCATTCAAAGTGGAGTTAACCAAATGCTTAACTTATGCAATGAAAAATAAATATATTGGAGTTTAAGGTTTGAAAAGGTTTGAATCTACCCTAATGCTGTGGACCGTAAAGGTTTAGCAACAACATTTATAAATGGAATACTAAAAAATATAATAAACCTCCTGGAATTTTGCTCAAATGTCACCAAGAATGTGCCTTTTTGGACGTATAACGTGTTTTAACATGCTAAAAGACAGATGCTCCCTTACTTGGTGGCTCTTTTGTGTTGATTATGTCAAGGTCACCACTTATGTTTCCATGGCCATGTTTGTCAGCATATACTGTCCTCAACACTTCATACTTCCTTCCTCTCGGATCACAGCAAAATGACTCCTTGCTAGCTGTCTTTTTTTTTTTTTTACACTGATGTGTGCTTTTCGGAGCAGCTACAATTTTATGTAATCTAAACACACACACAAATAATATTTTCAAATTTTTTTGAATTATTTAATTATTTCACAAATATATTTTTTTCTTTGTTTTCTTCAATGATCACATCTCATATTTCATCTCGAGTATGTACACGTACAATAACTTTTGAAAAAACCTTGTGACTAAAGTGGCAAAAAATGTTGTCCGTAAAGGGCATCATGCCGAAAACAAACTATGTGAAAACAGATATAAAACATTATATATAAACCATTTTCATACAATAAATATTGAAATGGTCTGATGGCTTATACATTTTAAGGCTGAAAGTCTGGGACAAGGGTAAAGCAACAAAATCTATAGGTAAAAGGCATTTGAAAAAAAAATAAAATAAAAATTAAGGATTAACAGATTAAGGTGTGTAAAAAGAAACCTTCATGACTGTTTTAATGTGCCATTCATTTATGAAATTTTTTTTTTTTTTTAAATCAGGAAAATAGAATCTGTTAGTTTGAATAAAAATCAGCCCCTGGGACATAAAAGTGCCTGCAGTTGAAGAAACACTCAAACTGGCTAACAAGCCGTGGTTAACGGGAACCTTGTGTCTTCCCCCCCTGTTCTCCAGTTTTTTCCACGTCCTCTCTGTCTGTCTCTTTCTGCCTTTCTCTCTCTCCTTCTCTCGGTCTGTTTTTGTTTTCCAAACAAGGTTCCCTTTGCAGGAAATTGTGTATTCTGTAAGCATTCAGGAAGGCAGAGAGCAGGTTTCCTGTTGGAGCCATGGTCACGAAAAAGAAAAAGAGGAGGGAGGAAGAGAGAAAGCGGGATGGGGGGGTTGCTTGGGTGAAAGGGGTTCAGTAATGGTCCGAACGGGTGAAGAAAAAGCAGGCAGCTATGTCTCTCCCCTCCCCTTCGCAAAAAAAAGTTCTGACATTTCAAGCCTCCACTCAACACCAGCACGATGACCTCCTGAACGACGTGGAACGAAAAGCATAGATAGATAGATAGATAGATAGATAGGGAGGAGAGAGCCTGATGATGACTTTGGGTGTGTACCGCACTCCTGAATTCTTCACCCACACAAGATCTTTGGTGGCTCGGTCAAGATGTGAGCGGATGATTTCTTTTGTTTAACGCCGTGGACGTCCGGGGGGTTTTCGTTTTGTACTTTTGACACATTTCCCCCTTCCCATCCCATGCGCTGTGGGGGCCAATGGTTGATTTGGAGGTGTATTTACTCTGATCTGGATTAGCTACTGAAGCCTGATGAAGAATAAGGCTGCCAAGCTGAAGTCCAAAAGGAAAGGAACTGAAAATGCATTCAGCTGTGACTTGACCGAACATCTGCAGAACTCAGGACGAGACGGTAAATTCCTCTTTTCCATACTCACTCCTCCTCTTGCCATTCATATAACGGCTGCCGAGCCTTTCAAAGCCCCAGCCGTCATAATAAGTGTGCTTTATTACGAGCAGCAGCCTGGGCCTCTGCGTAAACATTAACTACGTGTAATAAACCAACACCCATTTCCAGTGCTCGCTGTGCTGTGCTGTTGAAACAGAAGATACTTCATTCAGAGTCTAGATGCAAACTTTTGAGTGAAACTTGTTGCTTTAACTCTTAGGTGTTGTCTAATAAATCTCCACTTTGGGTGGGTTAATGGGTCTAAAATAAATCTGAATGTAATCTTAGTTTACGACTAAGTTGTGTAGTGCTTTGATTTGCCAAATACACATGCATAAAGTGAAAAATAAAGAGCAAAGGAAATGCTCAGAGGAAGAGGAAGGGAGAAAAGAGGAGGAGAAAAGGGGAGGACTAGATTTTAAAGATATACAGTTCACGTTAAATGCCGACATATCCTGTTTATGAAAATCATCAAAATCATAACTGAAAAGCAACAGTTCCTCTCAAAGTGAGTGCGTGTGTTATTGAGCATATCACAGTTAATGCAATATTTTGATATGCCGCCGTTGGACTTTCTTCATTTGTTTGTTCAAAGTGGTTTCGTCCCCATACTTAACTTCCGATGTGTGTTATGATTATGATTATAAATTGTGATGGATATCAACCATAAAAGCATGTAATTTGCATCTTCATGCTGATCCAGAAGCAGCTTTTCGTCTCCATGTCCTAAGCTTTAAGCTTACAAGAGACAACACAATACTGATCTCGAAACAGTCTTTTGTTTTAGATCCTGTCTTCTCACATGTTTTGATCACTGCGACAGGCAGAATGAACCCTCAGATTCCAGATTTTCAAATAGTTGTATCTCAGCCAAATATTGTCCTATCCTAACAAACCATACATCAATGGAAAGCTCATTTATTCAGCTTTCAGCTGATGCATAAATCTCAATTTTAAAAAAATTGACCCTTATGACTGGTTTTGGGCTCCAGGGCCACAAATGCTCTCAAGATATTTATCCTGAAGAATCTGATTCATTTTCTGTGTTGAAGTAAGATTATATTCTATTATAATATCTCAATATTGTTTTTTTAACTAACAATTATTATTATACAATTCTTTATCATGACAAATAAGTCATCAGGTAAGATATTGATTTTCCTCCATTACTTAAACAGCTAATGGAGTTTTTTCCCCAATGCAACAGGCTCCTTTGGTTTTCTCACTGGCAACTTTTATACATTATTTGAGCATAGCATAGATTTATACTTTCACAGCATCATCCATTAACCCCATTGTGATATTAAATAGTGTTTCCAAACCTTGAACTGTAAAGTCAGAATGCATTTTGAATTAATTCACCGTCTTGAAAGGCCTGCTTATTCCATGTTTTTTTTTTTTTGCCAGTAAAGAAGCCATGTGTAGACATCAATAACAAACCATATGAGGACTGGCATCCAAAACATATGATCCAACATATGCTAGTGTTTTCAATTAGATATCCATGTCAGATGTCAGCATCTCCTTACTAAACTAAAGCAGGATTTACCAATAACTGTAAAACACTGGAGCACATCTCTGGCTGCAGGTCATAAAGAGAGCTTTTCTCAGTCGTCTTCCTCTCAGAGAACAATCATTTATTCATTCATCCGGTCTCCACTGCGTCTCAGGCAGAATTGCTGAATAGTAAATGATCTGGGTTTTCCCTAAATCCCCCATTTTTCTTTCTTTAATGCTTCTTTTTTGCTTTAATTTTCTTTTTAAAAATGTTATGCTTTTGCTTAGGATGTGCTGTATTGCACTGTGTGTGAGGATTTTACTCCAAGCTGATCTCTCTGCAGTTATAGTGTATCGATAATGAAATTCACTTCATGAAAGTTCTTTTATATGTAGATCTGTGATACATATTTAGGTGAACGCTTCCGTTTTTAGATACGTGTAGATTAAGTAAGACTCTGGATGGTTTATTGGTTCAGCTAATGTTTTGGTTACACTTTATTTTACAGTACATGTACTTCCACAAGAAAGTACTGGGTAGTTGAAGTTAACTATGGGTTAAGGTTAGTTTAGGGGTAGGTTCAGGGTTAGTACCTAGTTATTAACCAGTTATTGTAATTGCTATGATAAGTACATAACATGCGGAGCAGGACTGTAAAATAAAGTTTTTTTTTTCCTACAGTTCATTACTTTAAATGATTTGGAACACATCGTTTATAAGCCTACTTTCAGTTCTTTTGCAAATGGATTATGACTCGGTGAAGTGCCTGGTAATTTATTGCATGAACAAATTATTGAGCCTACAGCTCTATTTACTTCTCCACATCTGCTTCTTCTGAAATCCAGTCTGACAAAAGGAGAGTATCCTGACCTGTTATAAGAACAAAACTTTGTTGACAGTCTGATAAAATGCTAAAATTAGGTATAAGCTGTGGCCTAGTGGTTAGTGCACAAAAAGGCCAACAAATAACTTGAAAATAATAATATATCAAATTAAACTGTGGCTCAGAATTACTGCTCCGTACTCTTCCGACAGACTTCCACACAAACTGGAAACCCCAATAAATCCAATAAAAAAATTAAAGGAATATTTTACCCCAAAAATGAAAATAATTAACTCTCAAATGCCTGTTTTGGTCCATACAGTGAAAGCCAATAGGGTCTAAAGTTTCAAGGTCCAAAAACGACCCAAGTGTAATCCATACAGCTCCAGTGGATTCTGAATTGATCAAAAATGACTTTGTATGCTGAACAGGCCAAAATGTGTTTATTCACTTTAAAATCACATGATGATGCTTTGATGACATCAAACCTGGTTTGGCACGTTGTGACATCATGACACGAGTACCAGTTTGGTGCAAATGACATGTCACGGTAAATTAAAGTGATCAACTTCAGGGTTAACAATGCTGTGAAATCCCTTGATAATTGTAGCTCATTGTGATGATGTCTATTTAGATGTCTATTTTTATGATGATAAATCAATTTAAAGCTTGAAGATATCATGGCTGAAGGTATGGTTAGGAAGTGATGAAGTTGGGTGGGAACTTTCCCGTGGTCTTTTAGAATAAGAGGAAGTGTCATAAGTAATACCAGCTGCAAGGCCTGGGTGTGTCAGGTTTCCTCTGAAACAAACAAACCATTTTTAACTTCCTGCCCTGGCCCACCTTCTCCACAATAAGCGCCTGACAGGATAAAGCAAGGACAGTGTAATAGTACTGTAGTCTACATGAAACACTACAGTTGCGAAGAGAGACAACAGAAATGTACATTCGGATTATTTAAAAGGTTAATATACAAAGAACGCAGACTTGAGTAAATGTGGTTGTTATATATTTTGCAATGTTGCAATAGTTGTATGACTTACTAAATTGTGATAAAAATCATACAAAATCTAATTTTTGGTATTTGTAGGCCTTTCTATTGTTCCTGGCTGCATAAAAATTGATGATTGCTTTCTGACTGACTTCAAAATGTATTACCATTAGGGTGAAGAGTTTTGGTTTTTATTGTCCAAATTTTTCAGACGTTTTCTCACACAAAGCCTTGTCAGTGGTCAACTGCATGCCCCAATAATCTCAAATGCGTCTCAAACTGTGCTCAAAGTCTACATTCAACACTTAGAGATTTCACTATGAACTCCAGCACTCTTCACCCAATAATCTGAGCTATGTTATACACATTAATTGTCGTAATTGTTACTCTTGTCATGTAAGCAGCCCATAGAAGTGGATGGTAAAAGCTGTGATATTTTGCACACAGATAGAGGACAGTCTTTTTAAATTTTCATTAAAAACACTTTTTCGAGTTCATCCGATCTGCACCATCATTTCTCTGAGACGCTGCTGCATGGCATCTGAGGTCTATACTTCACTTTTTTCGTTGCCCATCAATTTGCTTTATTTGATGAATCATCACAGGTTCCCTTTTACGTTATAATCCGGGGTTCTTTACGCATTTCTGCACATGCACACTCTTTAAAACCGGGGCTGATTGTTGAGAGCTAAAATATTAAATGTGTTTATATTTAAGAATGAAATCTATTTAAGTCCTGCTCTTTTCATGCAATGAAAGCTTACAGTGACTAGGGGATATAAAGCTCCAAAAAGGTCAAAAACAAACAAACAAACAAACAACATCCTAAAAGATTCAAGTCTCCTGAAGCTAAATACACCTTTGTCTGAGGTGACCAAAATGTAAAAGTTATTCACAAAAAAAAAAAAAACTGAAAAAAGAGCACTTACATCTCATTCATGCTCCCTATATTCAAACTTGGTTCTGGTCACAGTTTTAGGTACTGGTTATTTATTTATTTATATTTATTTATTTATTTAATAAATTTTTATTTTATTTTATTTTATTTTATTTTATTTTTGGAAACATTGAGATTTGAGAGTTGTGGAGAAGAGGTGATTTCTAGTGAAGTGCAGATTTTAGTCAGTCTACCTCTACTATACATGCATATACAAGACATATATGCTGCTAAATAATGTTCATGCTAATACTTTTATGACGTTCTTTTTTCCACTGGATGCTTTTATTGTATGGAGAGAATTAGTGTGAAAATTTCTCAAAATATTTTATCCTCTGTTCCATGAAAGAAAAAAGTAATAAAGGCTTATATGATGATACCGAAGTTTCATTTTGGGTGAACTGTTCTTTTAATAAATTGACCATCCATTAATTTGTACTGTTTTTTGGTTGTTGTTTTTTTGTCTAGTTCCTTATGTTCTGAAGACTTGCACAGAGTTCATAGAGAAACATGGGATTGTGGATGGAATCTACAGACTCTCAGGAATCACATCTAACATTCAAAAACTCAGGTGGGCCAATTATTTTGACTCACCGTGTCAAACATACAATTGTGTTGCATGATGGGAAATGTTTCCTATAAGACTTGAACTAGTCTAAACTCTTGCCTAAATCATTTGCACAGTCATTTCGTTGTAGTTCATGTGTGTATCTCTGTG